CCTGCAGCTTTGTTTTCTCTCCCGTCTGGGATCGGCCCCTGCAGAGACCGCCGCCCCTGAAGCAGCGGGTACGCATGGCTTTGGTTGGTCTAATGCTTGACCCTGGGGCTGAACCAATGCCCTCCCCACTAACAGTCCTGGCCTTGCTCACTCGGTAACGGAACAATTACTGACGCCCGGCTTTTACTTTCTCTTTGACAGTCCCGGCCCAGTCCACGACGGCTGAAAAAAGAGGTATTTATTTCTGGTAATTTCTTGAACCATGGTGAGCAGTTCACAGGTTCTCACGTGAGTCGTCAATGGATTTAAAACGCGGACAATGTTTAGTTTAATATTTTTTCTTCTCACAGTAACAAGCGCATCTGCTCTGCCAGTCCCTCCAACTCCTGAAGCAGCAGCCGCTACCTCCTGTAAGTCATGCAGCGTTACTCTGGTTTACACCCTTAGTTCTCTATCGAAGTCGTGCTCTGATGATGTGTTGGCACGTCTCCCGGTCTCCACTGTGTGCATAATCTCATGCATCTAGCATTTAACTTTGGGGATAATTCCTTTGGCTTCCATACAAATCAAGGGATGGAAAATGCTGCTGGTATTGATACGGGAGAAATACCTGCACTGATTAACATACCAGGGAAGGGGAAGCCACTGGGGCAGACACACTACACCAGTATAAATCCAGATTTCCTCTAGATCATCTCTACTCCTAGAAGGTCAGCCTCCCTGCACGTTCAAAGTTGCATCCCCACTGGAAGTTGAGCCAGTGGGAATCCTTCTGACATACCCCGTGGTATTTGGTTTGAACCTTAGTTTTCTATAACGGGATTTAACTTTTTTAAACAAATGGAAATGCAAGTTCTGCTCATTAATTGAAAATATTCTGCCTCAGATGCTTAGATAGAAGACTAAGGTTTTCTTTAAAGCCTGGCCCTATCAGCTACACATGGGTAAAGGGCACTCGGCTGCCTCAGTAAAACACACATACTTGTGTTGACAACATACAAAAACTGAACTTTGGATGCCAAGCATGCATTTGAGCATGGGACTATCTGCCTACATAAAGGAACAGGCAGAGTTAAATCTTGTTCCTATTAATGCTAGTAGTATGTTATCTTTAGTATTCAAGCCCCTACACTTTTCTTAATACGAGCCCTTTGTCCATGACAATTCTATTCCTCAGCACTGTTGTTACTAACATTTCCTAGTCTTAATGCATTCAGATGATTAATGTATATTGATTGATTATGTAAGAGCACACATTTTCCTCATTCAGTCTCACTTATTTCCTTTTCGGTTTGTTTTGTTGTTTGTTTTTTTTTTTTCCATTAAAAGCCCATCCAAAACCAGACCCAGCACCTATAAACCCAGGTAAGGTATTCGCATCCTTTCTTCTTCTTGGTGACTGCCCTTCCTCAGGGCGGTGTATGCTGGGTAAGAGACGTGTGCTGGGAAAGCCTGGCGATTCAATAGCGGAGAGTATCTGAGTGCAGAAGAAAGGGGGAAGCAGGAGAGGCTGGGAGCAGGCATGGTGCTTGGGGATGCCGCAGCTTACCCAGAGACCGCACACCGCTGGTACGGGGGCTGGCAGCCGAACCGTCCCCGGTGGCGAGGGTCAAGGCCATGAGCTGGCCTATGTCTGCACCGTTTACGGAAAAAACACATTTAAACATCTGCCCGTAGCCCGCCAGGCTGCTGGCCAGTCAGTGCCCGTGTGCTCCGGAGGGCTCGCGGGCAAAGAAACAGCTTGTTATGGCGAGGAGCTCACCCTCTTCCCCTGAGAGAACGGACGAGCTTGTGTAACCTTGGGGCAGCTGCAGGAGGGAGCCGCGAACTGTCGTGGTTTACCCCAGCCAGCAATTAATGGCACACCTCCTCTCCACTCAGCTACCGTTGCCGGGTGCAGCAGCACGGCCCACATTTGCAGTATTTAAATACCAGTATTTAATACACGCTGCATTTTACTCTATGCTTACATATGGTTTATTAACACTAAATTTCTTCTTCTCCAGCAAACCTTCCTTACCTGCCTAAGTACGCGCGGGTGATGCTACTGCGGTTCTTAACTGGCCTGTGCCGACCGAGGAGGCCTGGGGTGCAAAGTATAAAGCTACAAGGGTAAATATTTATTCATGCATATGAGGCGTCCCAGCCAAACCGGGGCACCCCAAACATGGTTTTACACGGGGTTCTTACACCCTTCAAACGTGCAGGTACAACACAATTTGCCTAGTCACTCACACCCACACTACCGATTACTAACCGTAGTAAACCTTTGTAGAACAACTCCGTTTCTGCAGCATTCTTGCTGCCTGTCTATTGATCCAGACGTCCCTGGAGTCAGTCTTGCCGAGTTACTGCTCTGCGACACCAGGTGACGCTGGGAGGGTTTCCAAGACATGTCGGAGGGGCTGGGATGCTGGCCTTATCTTGGCTGTCCAGGGGCAAGCATTCGCGCTGAGCTTCCACAAAGCGAAGTCCTTCTTCGCAGAGCCAGCCTGTCCTTCACTTTGTTTCAATTAAGCATGAACAATACCGGAGTCTCCAGTAAAATTCCACTACCAGAAGGTACCGCTGTACCCTCCTACTACATTACAGTTTATAATGTGAAGTAATATATAGAAAGTTAGTAATACACTTTCATCCTGTAAAGACTGATTGATATCAGAGTTAGGGAAGGGAATTTTCCTAACAGTGACCACCAGAAGACCCTACACCAATGCCAGAGGCTACCGTGCAGGGAACGGACACCTGAGCAACCCCTGATACAGGCCTGGGATCAACTCCTGTGCCGTGTTTCACATGCCGTACAAAGGCTGTGGCACATAAAGGCTGGTAGGAATGTACGGGTTTGAAATTATCTCATGCCAAGGTGTTATCAAAATAATTTATGAAAAAAAAATTTCAAAAATATTTTTAGAGATTGTTACTGGATAATGCAACCCCATGGCTTTGTGAATGCCAAGACTTGGAAAGTTGACATGGAACATCCACGGCATAGATGAACATTATATTAACACCACAACAAAATTATATTTCTAAAAGTTCATTATTCTAAATTATATGATATTATCCCCCTTCCCCATTTCACACACTTCCCTGCCCCACCTCCCTTTCGTAACCCTCCCTCGTCAGGTCACCTTGTGCGTGGCTAAACGTGCCCAAAACAAAGAGACTCTGGGTCACGTACAGCTCTGACATATAAAGCAACGGCGTATTCACTCCAACACCAAGGGAGAGCAGGATTTAGTGAGCTGGGCGCTAGCGTGGTCACCACACTGAGGAGACTCCCAACGAGCCTTGGCTGGCCGGGCGACAGTCAGGCGCGGAAGGCTCAGTCTTCCTCCGTGGCTCCTTCAAACAGACCCTCCACCGTGCTCAGCTGCCATTCCCCAGGTTTTTTTTCCCTTTAAGACTTTCTACCCCTCCATGTTGGTGTTTTCCCTCTTGAGTCCTTGAGCTACTAACTGAACCCGAATTAACAGTTAACATTTAACAGTTAACATTAACAATTGATTCGTCAGTAATTTCACCTCTCTTATCTTGCATGGCTCTGCAGACTTTCTCACAACTTGGCAATGTCCTCAGCTGGGACCTGCGGTTGGCCCACCTCGGGTGGCCCGGGATCTTCCCAGCATGGGCAGCTGAGCCCTGTTACCCCTTAGCTTGCCTGACTTTCTAGAGACATTCAGGAAAAGGTTTCAGCCATACTTTGCAGCTCTAAACTCGTAGCCCATCAAGCCATGACCTATTCTAACACAGTGGAAGGATCCATTTCTGGCACCTTCTACAGCAGAAATACAAATTCTCTTGACAAACCTCAACTGCAAAACAGACGGGAACACTGCTGCCCAAATGATACCCAATGTTAGAGAGTCTCCACACCAGGAAACTCCATCTAGATGATTTATTGTCAAGTTTGCTTTTTATGATTCACCATCTTTTTCAAATTCGGTGAGGATTTCATCATATTATGTTCAGCCAAACCAGGATTTCTTTGTTCGTGCTACCCTCTACAGCACAGAGCCAAATCTGATGCTATTTAGAGACACGTGTGTGGTCTCTCCAAATTGTCATGACTTTATGACTGTGGCATCTGATTTATTCAGAAGAGAGTAAAGAAAATATCTCAACAACCATTTCAAAGTAGTTCCTCACATGTGATTGACTTCATATGGATAACAAATACATACACCAAAGAAACACGGTCCTGAAACACATTTGAGCTACCTGCTTGCAAGAAGCAGCAGGATTTTAAATGAGCTAGCTATTAGGACAAAAATACAGAGTTTTGTTAGTTGGCTCTTTATGTTTCATTCCCCATAATATTCTGGTAGGGAAGAAGAATTCATATAAATTCTCAGAAGGTATTTCACGAATTATATAAAAAATTTAGAGAAGGATGAAGCATCTGATTAAAGGGATTTTGGTTAATTTGGGATATGGAATTGTTTCTTCATAGCTCTTCAGAAATTCTAAGGTTGAAATAAAAAATAACTTTGGAAAGTTATTAACAGACCTGCACAGTAACTCTCTTTCATGTATTTAAAATTCCATCAGGTGCTTTACATTTATAAATTTACATGCGTATGTGATATTTATATATGTTGTGCTACATATTATACTAACATACATATTAAATTCCATACAGTTGCATCTGTGTTCAGGAGTTCTGTGCTGTGAATTGTGATTAACATCACATTCAGAAATTTCTGAAGGAAAGTTTCTTGTAACCAATGAAAAAAATGGGCTTAGTGACCATGTCACTATTTTTGTATGACAATTATACATGGGGGTTTTTTTCCTTTTTTTTTTCTCAGGTGTGTAAGGGACCCAACCTGTGGGAACTACTATTCACCAGGCAACAGGATTGTCCTGTTCAAGTTCAGAGGCCCTATATACCCAAGAGTTTGCTTACAGTGCAAAATATTAGCGTGCAACAGATACAATTATTCCTTCCAACGCTACCAGGGCTATATGACAAGAGGCAAAAGAAGCGCAAAGGACGTCGTCATTATTATCATCCCCAAATAATAACAGCCCCAATAACGCTTCTTCTAACCATAACATTATGTTGATCGCTTATGTACGTGATCAGTGTGTTGCACATCTGCTACTAATTTCTAGAAATACATTATACTAGGGGTTGTAAATCTAAAAATGTTTTAACTTTAACTGTACTTCTGTTCTGTAATTGCAGAACTTTTATGTCTATATTGCAGATTTGTAAAACCTTAAACTTCAGTAAATACTCTCAGTGACAAAGAGCAATTGGATCAGCTGGCTGATTTTTCTCACCAAGACTTTGTGTCCCTCCCCAGTTCTTCCAGTTCTCCCCATTGTACCAAATAGCTCAAATACTGAGCATTTAAGGAAGATTAACCTGCCTTACAGATGCACACGTCACAGCGCTGCTTTCTGAGCTCACAAAGAGACATAAATCAAAGGATAAGCATTCCTGGTAACCAGTAATGTCTGAGCAATTACCTTAAACAGGAACTCAAAAATACTTGGAAAAATACTGTACATGTACTGAGATATTATATCTGCAATACGTATAAACTATTCATCTTTCCATATCCCAGGTTTTATTACTGGAGATTAGAAATATAAAAAATTGTACATCTAAATTTACTGCACTATAAGCATTTGCTTCATCCTTTTTCTTTCAATCTGTTCAAATGATGTCATGTTGAGCCAAGAAAGTGTTCCTGTACTTTAATGTTAAAGTGTCCTACTTGGAATGTCTTCATAAAAAAAAAAAAGGAAATTAATGATTTTCAGTTCATAATAGAGAAAAATCTATTGTTGATTGTGGAACTGTACAGGAGTACAGCAGTCATCTCAGAGAAAGAGATGGATTAAATTCTGATAATCTGGCAAACCTGATCTGACTGTGAAAAGCATCTTGAAGGCCAATATACAGTTTCCATACGGCGAGTATGTGCAGGTTACTCAAACTCGTAATGAGATGCCCTGTACCAAAATAAGGATGCCTAGCACCTAGATGCTGTGCCACACAAGACAAAAAAATCCACTTTTTCCAGCAACTTTTCCTTTTATGCTTCATCCCTTCAAAAAAGGGACTAGACTCATTCTGAAACTCAGCTCCATGAGTCGAAGTCACGCAGATCCCCCACGAAGGCTCCAGATCTAATCTCTTACCTGGTGGCTAAGCCTCAGCATTGGCTGAGCAGGCTCACTGCCAAAGTCCTCATCCCGCAGGACCGTAATGCCCGTCCTGAGCCAGGGTATCTCCTAATCATACCTAGTTCATACAAAACTCCTTCACACTCGTAACCCTGCGGCTCCGCTTCTCACAGCTAATGACGTAAAGCGCTTGAAATCACGTTTTCCCTGCTGTTGCACTCGCAGCTGCAGGCAGTGAGAGAAAGTGCCTGTAAATAAGTGTCACAACCGAATCCTCATTCCTTTGTACTAAAATGCACGCTAATTTGTGCCGAGGATCCGCCGTTGTAAAACACCTTCCCTACAGTCATTCTCTCCTCATCTTAAAGGACTTTTGCTGGCCTTTTTCTTTTGAGAGGAAATTCAAAGCGGGCCGTTAATATTTTGGCATCCCTTGATATCTGAACACATCACACCATCTGAACACGGGCTTAACACAGTTTGAACGCTCGGACTCGTAGCGTCAGTACGCAGAGCAGCGGCAGCAGCACAGTGGCTTAGGGACTTCTACTGTGCAGATGGAGCTACCAGCCAGCCTCAAGCGTGGGCACGGGCTCAGCCCTTCAGACACATTAAGGTGCCCAGTCCTCCAGTATCAACTCCAGTGCAAGAAAATTTCCTAATCATTTATATACAAGCAGTTCCAAACAGTTTGACTACCAACCTGTAACTACTGGAGTGAACTACCAAGGAATCACAGCCACAGGCATTTTCTTCTGGGTTCTGATGGGCACAGCATTGATCGGCAGAGCTCTGCACACCAGTTCACATGTGAAATGCACACAAAACAGATGTTAGCATTTTGAAAAGTCCCTGCAAGTATGTGTGTGGGTTTAAGAAATTAAAGGCTATGCAGAGTAAATGCAAATTTAGCATTTCCAGAAGCTAAAGGGAATTCAGATGCTATGCAACATCTTTATACATGGATTCAATGCCTCCGTGTTTAAAGGCAATAGAAGTACACTGTCATGATGAAAAGAGAATTGCATTCAAAATCCTTAAGGTGCGTTAAAAATCGGAGAGAGTTGTTTTAAAGGTGGCACAGGTCTCAGATTAGAAATATAGGATCATTGCAGATGCATCATATTTCAGTTTTTTTATAAAAAAAAAAAAGGGTTGTACAAAAAAAAAAGTCTTTATGAAAGTAAAGCGCCTGGATGTGTTTCAAGAAGGTCTGCGTTGCAATTTGACTTTACTAGTAAACTTGAAAGAACACGTGTTTGCACAGCTGTGGGATACCTGCTCTGTGTATCGGAAAGAACCACACAGCCGGGCTCCGGCGTGAACCCTGGCTGTCCCCACACCACGCAGGCACCGCGCCGAGCCAAGGGCGGGTAAAAGCACATCTGCGGCACTGGCACTCCCAGCTCTGGAAGCTCTAACGATCCGGTATCTGCTGCTTCAGCA